GAATCTGTGTGCCCAGTCTTGGAGGGCCGCACGTTGGTCAAGTTTGCGTAGAATCTCGTTAAAATGGCAGTCGATAGCTTCGGTTCAATAACGTCGTGCACTTGGAGGTCCAACAAGGCACAGGCTTTGTGATACCATCATCCAAGGGAGTTCACTGTGCTTCGCGTGATGTGAGCCCCATGTTGATACTGGGATGGTTGTGGCCTCGCATGCTTGCAAGCCCAGTCGCGAATGTCGTCTCGTGGGAAATGGATTGCACACAGGTCGGTACCGAAGGATAGGAATCACTGCCGCAGTGAGCAGTGTCAATAAGCGAACCCCAACGCTCCCGTTTCCTAAGAGTAGAGTGTGACTGATGGAGCAAGACAAGATTTACCGAGCGCGCAACTTGCCTTATTTGTTGAAATATATCGTCGGTAATGACACTGCCAAAAGCTTGGCAGTTATTCAATGAGATGGCTGGCCGACCCTCTCCTCATAGCAAGAGGGGATTGCGCTCATAGGACTAGCAAAATTCCAATGTTCAACCCTCGACGCCGCTTCTTAGAACTCGACTACGACAGCGTGCCGCAAAGCCAGAGCGCCCAGCACATATCTCGCGGAATCTCCGCTGTGGTCATACGTGGCGGCTTCGTGACAGAAACCTGTTCTCTTTCAGCCGAACAACGCCCGTCTGCGACAACCCCCAAACGACTGCCGCAAACCTTTTCAAAAGATTCCCGTTTGCCCCGAGGCAATTTCTACCACACGTACAACCAACGATTCCATGCACCGTAATTGATTGCGTTTGGGTGCCGACAGCATGCACCTGCGATGACGTTTTTGTAGTCAGCTGCATCCATCGAGCCAGGAAACTTGTCTTCGCGCTCCCAGGCAACTCCGAAGACGATCGTCGCCAAGTCTCCACTTGTACATCCGCGGCCACAAGTCACTGCGCTTCGCCGCCAGACTGCTGGCGTTTGCAGCGACGTTAACTTCAACATCGTGGCGCGTTGCCGCCTCCGATTGGGTAGATCGGGCTTCAAGTTGGGTGATTCGGCAGCGTCGACGTGGTGGTACGACCAATCGGGCGGTTTCGTCAACACATTTGATCCAATCAAATCGCTTGAATCTCGTCCTGTCGCGTTTGGATTGGCGGCATACGAAACCAAAAACGACCCAGAAGCCAATCAGAAGTCGAGACAGCCCATCCAAGCAATTTGATTGGAGGCATCTTCTTGCCAAGATATCGGAGATCCGAAATAACGTCGAGGAAACGTCCATTCCACAACTTCCGAGGCGAGCCATGCAACCCACGCCGCCGCAAGAGCCCGTCGCGACGAGCGCGCTGAAGGACGTCATGTCGACAGAGCTCAAGAACAAGCCTCTGTCACCGTACGTCAAGATGTTTGCTGGTATGGCTGGCGGGGTTGTCGAAGCATGTGTGTTGCAGCCCTTGGACGTGACAAAAACTCGTCTACAATTGGACCGAACGGGCATGTACAAGGGCATGTTTCACTGCGGGAAGACAATCTATCAAACGGAAGGCGCTGGCGCTCTGTACAAAGGCTTGTCGCCGTTCGTCGTGCACTTGACGCTCAAGTACGCCCTTCGATTTGGGTCGTTTGCTTGGTTCAAGGAAATCTTGGGCACCAAGCAAGGATCAAAGGCAAGTAACCAGGTCAACTTCATTGCTGGGCTTCTCACGGGATGCCTCGAGTCCGTCTTAATCGTCACGCCGTTTGAAGTGATTAAGACGCGCATGCAGAAGGAGATTGGCGTTAGCAAGTTTACAGGCCCCGTCGACTGCGCCCAGCAAATCATTCGCCGAGAAGGCGTGACGGCAATGTGGAAAGGAAATATTCCCACGATGATTCGACAAGGCAGCAATCAAGCATTCAACTTCATGTCGTTTGCGTGGCTCAATTCGAACGTGTGGAAGAAAGAAGACGGGGATGGCAAGCAGCTCGAGATGTGGAAGACATTTGTGAACGGGCTCGTGGCCGGGAGTGTCGGCCCATGCCTGAACTGTCCCATGGACGTGATCAAGACGCGGTTGATGGCGCAAGAGACTGTTGTCGGCGTCGAACCCAAGTACAAGGGCTTCATCCATGCGTTCAACCTGATCGCCAAGGAAGAAGGACACGCCGCGCTGTGGAAAGGCCTTGTGCCGCGGCTGACGCGCATGGCGCCTGGCCAAGCCATCACATGGACAGTCGTCATGCGGGTCACGGCATTCTTTGAGAACACGTAGGCGCGGAATGACCCCGCTTGAATGTATTGTAGTACGAACGCCTGGATTTATCCTTCTTTTGGCGAAGCCATTCGATCGGCGGCACTTGATCGCACTGAGGAATCGATGACTCTCGTACATGAGACCCAATAAAAGAGGACGTAACCTTGCGCAGATCTAATATTGCACTCGTTGGGATCTACGTTTGCGCCATCCATCCGCGTGGCGGGGCTGGCAGCTTTCCTTGGGCATCAAGGACTTGATTTTGACCCGCTGCTACGACTCAAAGTTCACCTCGGCGACATGAAGTAGCGTTATTCACATTCAAGTTTGTATTGCACGTCCATTGCGTCGGAGAGACGCCGCGCAGATTGAGTAAGTCGGCCATCGCTAGTCGCCGTTGGCCTCGGGAGCTTGAACAGGACATCATGAAGATAGGAATGGCAAAGCACGACGACGTCAGCTGTGCACGACGCATTCAAGGTTCGATCCATTGGCATAGATTTGAACACTGCAGTTGCCCGACCAAGACAAGCTGGTCATAGTTGCTTTCGCGATGTTGAATACTTGGGTTCGGGTGGACGGACGGGGTGAAAAATGCGATGGACGGAACTCCCCTGGGGTTCATTGAGCGCCATCTCGTACAAGCCAACTGCGTGGATGCTGAGGGGATCGTGGTGCTTGAGATGTCCCAATTTGCTCGTCATGAACCCGAACGAGCCACACAGCGCTGCCATTGTCGACGTGGACGACTGGACGTCCTGGGAGCGATCGATGGAAGGCCGTGTTTGTCAACGAAAGCGATGTGGACGGTTGGCGACGCCAGTACCCAAAGTTTGTCTTGCCACACAAACACATCCGTCGACGAGCACACGAACACTCGAATCGTCTTGTACCGATGCTGCCACTGCGCTGTTTAGAGGTTCGAAAGGATGGTCGCATCCGCCAGTTACCACGTCCATTCGAGTTCCGAATGCACACGCGCACATCCCATTGTTTGGCACCAGCACCTCGATCGACGTTCCAAGCGGCGCCGTGTGCAGCAAGGTGCTGACTTCTCCGTTCCGGATAAGCTTGACTATCAAGTTGAGCTGGTTGCTGATGAGAGATGACAGAGACAACCATCAAGTCCCCAGGGACAGGGGTGTACGATCGCGAAATGCCATTCACGCGGACGGACGGGTTGCCAAGATCGCGTCGTCCCACGAAGATTGGAGCGTGATCAGCGCGATGTCCATAGTCAGCATTTCCGAGGGCAACGAGCGTGCTCGGTGAGCTCGTTCGGTCGGCGCAGTCAACATGTCCTTGGAGGCTGCGCTTGTACCCTGCGAGAAACATGAATACTCCCTCCGTTCCAAAATCATTGCGCGAGTTTCAGGA